GCGTTGACTAAGCGCAGCTCAATGTCGGTGGACCCTGACCTAGGCCTACAGTGTTCTGAGGCAATGCAGCGCCTACCGAAGGCTGCGACTTTGGGCGCAGCTTCTCTCACCGGCGTTTCGACGGTTGGTGGGCTGAGCTTCTCCGGCGTCCTCGCAGAATTCGATGGGTGAAGGCTGGGTTGCGCCCGGGGTTTCGCTTGGACCATGCTTCGAGTTGACCATGCTGCCGTGATTGCTTGACCATGCTGGAGATGACCATCGACCAGCCAGTCTCTCCTCTTTCGGTTCGATTTAGCGGCCCAAAAGGGGGCGTCGGTGGGGCGGCTAACGCCCATTGGATAAATGTTAAAAAAGGGCGGGACATGGGCGAAGTGCCAATCCCTACAGGTCTGACATGTTTTACATCTCCGTTTTACATCTTCTATTGCTGCACGTTTGCACGGCAATCATTCCTTCAGGAGGATCACCGACGATTGCGATGATGAAATGGCTGCACGCTAGTTTTCTCCTAGCTCTCCCTCCAAACACTCCAAACACTCTGGGCCCCCATACCGTATTCCTCTTCCCCGCACGATGTTCGCTCTTGGCCGATGGGGTAGTACCAGCAGCAGCCGCAAGGCACGGAGCCCTTCCAGCAACAGCCAGGGCCGCTCCTCCGCTTAGACGCGCGACCACGCGCGATGGGACGCGCCAGTCGTTGTCTCGATGGAAAGCGTGACCGACGTCGAAGTGGCAGAAGGAACCGACGGATTTGGGAAGTCTCCACCTGGATGATCCTGGATGTAACTCGACATTTTGGGGGGGGATTCAGCTCAGACCGCTTCGACCCGACCCCGGTTCGACGCCTAGAATCTCTTTCCAGCCTTGGGGCCCCGACAAAAACCGCCTCCTGCCACCTGCCCCACCTGCCCCACCTCCTTTGGGCTCTTCCACCGTTGCAGCAGCTCCAAGACGGCTCCCGTGAGCCCCTGGACCGGTCAAGCAAGAGGTCGTTCAATAGGTTCAACAGCGGCGGTTTCGGAGTTCTCGGAACCAATCCATCCGAAACACCTGAAATAACCCCAGGGATCCAAGTACCTCCTCAGAAGGTGATTGGAGACAGAAGATACTTGGATCCCGAGGGTATGGATACCTGCAGAAGAGTTGCACGGATGAGTATGGGTGTGTTTCGAGTTCTGGGTATGTCTGGGTGGTGTGAAGCTTTGCTTCAACCGCAACGAACATCATCCAAGTTGTCACCACAAACTCCCCACTCCGATCTGAGGACCCATTCAGCGCTGGCGACTGCATCCATCCCTTCTTGGTGACCCAAGTAGTTCTGCCAGAAGTATATAGGTGGATCTCTCCCTCCTTTCGCAAACGACTTCGCACCCAAAACGTCTGGAATCTTTGGACCTTCTCTGCCCCCACCTCGCAGCGAAGCGCTTGTGCCAACGGAGACCCCGAGGAGCTCACATCCGGTACGGTGTCGCCTCGCGGTTCGGGGCTGATAGAGCGGGATTTGGGATGAAAGAAGAGGAGGAAAGCAAATCTGCCAGCCAAACAAGCAAGCAATTCGCCAAGCTCAACGAATCAACCACCCAACCTGCTCGCCAGCAAAATAGAGTACCCAAGCAGCCAGTCAGCCAACAAAAGAACCATTGATAATCTTGATGTGCTTTGCAAGAATGCAGGTCGGAAAGAATGCTGAAAAGGAAAACAGTAGAGTACTGTATGCTGAGCATCATTTTCAGGGAGGTTTGTCGTTTGTCAAAACGCAAAGCAAAGAATGGCTGCAGGATGGGGTCGGATCTCTCTAATCGGTCGACACCTTGATGTGTGCAACAACAAGGTGTGAAGAGATGTGGCTAGAAAGCCTTGGATGCAGTGGAATCCACTCCCCGTGGCCACTCCTCTTTTGTTATATAGCTGGTTTTGTGGGATCCGAACCAGCACCGGTCTTTTTCATGTGTTGTCCATGACGCCTTGGTGCAAGCTGTCAAGATCCTCTCATTGAAACAGCCCTTTGGGCAGTGGCTGGTGATGGCTGGTGATGGGATCCCAGCACAGAATCATCTGCCGCGATGGCACCGTGACCTTCCTGCGGCGAAGCGAAGAAGAGGCCGCTAACAACGACGGTCACTACAAGGAAGACTCCAGAATTCCTCCCAAAAGGAAGCATCCATCGCGCAAAACCAGGATACCGGATGCGGCCATCCACACGATGCCATGCCATCCACACCTGGTGGGCCCGCTGGCCGCGCCTGTGGCATCACCTGCCAAAGTTCCCAGGATCCGGACCTGTGGCGTGGGGGATCGACGAGCCGAGTGCTTCGACGAACGAAAGGCTTCAGAGACCCCGGGAGTCCTCGAAACCCGATCACTTGGAATCTTGAAGCTTGCTGTAAAGCTACCATGGCCAAGTTTTCCCCCCCCATACCAATGCACCAAAAAGAAATTGGCCTTTCTCAAAAATCGGCTGTTACAGGCAATGGAACACACCCAAGATCCATCCACCCTGACCATCCTTCGAGGCAAGGGGCTGTAGCTCTCAGCGCTTGGATCTCGGCCATCTCCGTCTCACCGCGCAAGGACTTCTGCAGCAGCTGGACCGCCCTTGGCCATGTGCATCTAAAAGGAAGTGTTGGATTGAACAGGAGGAACTGCCCTCACTTTGCCCTGCTGATAGAAACTGCTTGTGGACTCTTTCGCGAAGGTATGGGTCCTCTTGTCATCTTTGGTCCACTGCCACATGTGGACGGAGAGAAGGCAAAATAAACCACCCAATGTTGATGGGCGATCAGCACATGAACATCAATGTCACCCAAATCCACTCTTGCAAGCCCCAACGTGGCACCTTTCGAGTCTTGGAGGAGTTGGGGTTGAGGATTTAAGTCGGATAAAGATTCTTGATGCGGTCGACTGAAGCAGCCTCAGGGAAAGAGACCCCAAGTACACCAGCTTGTACCAGGTAAAGTGCAGGCCGGTCTCATCATCTTCGGAGTCTCAAAGGTTTCAAGAGTATGTAAGCCACTCACTAACTTCCAAAGGCTCGGATTCGAAGACCGTTTTCGTAGGCACGTGCAAAGCCTGCAGACCTAACCAGCCTGAGGTCTAGAGGAGGACTTGCTTTAAAAGGCAGGTACACCCAGCTGGCCAAGCTGGATATCCCATTTCGCCGGTAGCTTCGTTGGACACAGGCCCAGTGAAATGCTGTGTCCCCCATGCAAGTTTAAAAAGCCAAAGGTTCCCTATGATTCCAAAGGTTACACAAGCTCAAAAGCACTCACATTTCGGAGGCCTCTAGGAACCCACATCCCCACTCTCCTAGCGGACTACCAGATCGCCCTGACTGCTATGCTATGCCCCAAAAAAGCACTGGCGCAAGGCCTGGGGCGTCAGCAGAGAAAGCAGGGAAAGAAGGACTGGAAAGCTCAGCCACTTGCCAAAAACTCTGGCAGGGTTGTCACCAAATTGGCATAGATGCAGCATGACTTGGGGCCATGGAACACTAACCTGGAAAAGCTCCGCAATTCTGCGAACTGCCCAGTCGACCTTGAAAATCCCCAGTCGACCCTACTCATCCCAACGGCCCAACTCTCCAGGTAGAAATGAAATTGGAATACATAGTCATGTCATAGTCATAGGGCCCATTGGTTGTAGTTTGTGTGGATCTGCATGCTGGTTCCCAGATCCAACCCTTCGTGGACATGTGTGCCGAGACACTGTGTGTTGCTTTCATGGAATGCCAAGTGTTCTGCCAAGGGTTCCTGCAAGAAGTCGTCACGGTTCAAGAAGTGCCCTTTTCAGTCGATTTTGACGTGGCAGGTGGCACGTGCGTCTTGTGTTGAGATATCATGGTAGGTAAAATGTTGTTACCGTTATGAGCGTGGAATCTGAAACATCACTGAAAACACCAGCAATGGCTTGACTTGAGATTAGGCCTCAAATTCTTGCACGCAGGAGTTGCAGGAGGCTGTCAGGGCCAAATGATGTCAGCATCCGCAAACGTGGCTTGAACACCTGACTATATAAGATTATCAGGCTGCTGCCTGGGAGCCCCAATTCTTCCCCAACTCAAGGACTCGAAAGCAAATTCGCTTCCCAACTCGGGAAATCCCTACAAAACCTCCCAGGTGTCCCACACAGACCGCGGCGACTCCAAAAAGCAGACCGGCGATTCCCCACCTTTTTGGGGGGTCTTTCTCGCCGGTCCTCTGGACCCTCGTAGCTCACCAATCTCTGCAAGTCCCCTAAGACGGACTCTTCGGTCATGGAGAAGGCTCTCGTGCCATCCAACGCCCCACCACCACGGGCACCGCGTGGGCACCGCGGCCCGCGGCGGAAGGACTCCGCTGGTGGTTGCCCGGCACCCCAAAAACCGGTATGAGAGGGAGACGAAGCTCGCTCTCGAAGCTTGTGGTAAGAATGTGGCACCAGTCAGACTCCTCCAATGACTTGTGTATTGTCCAAGTTGTTTCAGCTGTTTCGTTCGTAGTGCCACGTGACATTCAAGCGGCATGCTCTGACTCCAACTTCTCAATCATCTGCACGGAACTGGTTCTGACCCCTGTCAGGCCCTATTTATATTATATAGCTCAATCAAAAATGCTTCCATGAGAAGTTGTTATTGGAGCTCAACAACTGTCACTTCACACTGGGAGATCCAAGATGATGAGACGATGAGCCAAAAGGGCAATTCATATCCGATATCCGCAGCTCATGTTCAGACATGCTATGCTGCTACGATGTCCTCATGCTCCACAAAAAAAACACACGAAAATGACGTTCGATCTCTTACATCGAACGGGCGAAAACGCCCAATGCAGACCCAGTCGAATGGACGCATCGTCCCATTCGACGTCCTATAGTCGGTCGGTCGGTCAGTCCCTAAGTCTGACAAAAAATCTTCTCCCGCCCAGGTCTTTGTGTGTTTTTGTGTATTTTTGGGTCCAAAGGTATCACTGGCCAACTTGGGATGTTCAAGTCAACTCAAAACGAACCAACTGACTCACTGCATCTCACTGCTCCAGTCGCTGCTCCAGTCGCCCTGAGTCGCCCTGCTTTCGGCCCAGCGCCCGCGCCACGCTTTTGCCCACGGACGTCTTGCCGACTCCCGGAGGCCCAACCAGGCCTGCAGCGCTTGGGGAGAGGTAGGGGGGAGGTAGGGCCGTGACGTAGCTTCAGTCAGTAGCAAGTAGTAGGAGGGAAGTACTACCAACAGGAAGTAAATACCGAACTCGAACTGCAGTAACTGCAGTAACCGGTGGGAAAGCTCACCCACATCCTATTCATGTAGTGAACTAGATTTTTAGGGTTGGGAAACGGACGTGAATTCAACGTGACCACATTCACTGTGGATGTCTAACCGAGTCTAAGCATCTGCTCTTCTCCACATGGTGAGCCTTTGATAGCCATATTGGCAGATGTGCTTGAGAAAAGTACTATCTTCGAGATGCATATTTTTTTGCAAACTGGTTCTTGTTGTTTCACATGGCCACAAAGGCTGGTATATCACAAATAGGGAAAAAAGAGAGTCCGGTCCTCTGATCCTGCGTGAGATGAAGCCTCGTGAACTTTGCTTCCTGCACACAAGTAGGGAGCCTTGGAGAGGGAGTTACGAGCCAAACTCTGCTTCCCTTTGGGGTCCAAAACCTACGAAGGGCATTCGTCATCCATGAGATCTAAGGCATCGACACATGATCTTGCCCTGAGTGGAGTCCTCCGAGCAACATCACAACGGCTCGCAACGGGTCGGAGCTACATTTACCAGCTGAGAAATCTGAGAATTGTGATTGCAAGCTTGTAAGTGTCGCAAAACTCATCACATAATCGAGTCTTTCATACAGAAGCACGATGACTGGGAGGATTTTCTTCGACATCGGTGATCTTAACACCGAAAAACGTGGGGTGTTGTCCTTGGAACCCGACGCAACAGCCCGTCCCTTAGCCCCTTGTGAGTGTTGTGAACGTTCGGCGTTGCACCAACACAGCCCTACAGTCCCTACAGCGTTGGTCCCAAAAAAACCGTTTCCAGGTTGGAGCTTTGAGTCAAAAACAAAACCCGCTTGTTCTGGGAGTCGGTTGTTCGAGGACTTGCTGACCCCGTGACTGGACTTCGAACACATTCCCCTCTCCTTGAGGAAGCTCACCGCAATGTGTTCGAGGATTCGCTCCTTCACATCCTCCAGGCCATAGTGATCCTCCCAAGCGATCGAGCTGCCGTGCCGCCGTCGACCCGGAAGTCAACCCTACGAGGAGGACGACCCATCTTTTGAAGACGGTTCGGAGGGTGAACGACAGGGTGAACGGAGGGTGGTTCAATGCGGGGCTGTGCAATGCGCTGTGGCCACAGTCCAAATAACGTGCTCATCCATCCCGCGGACGAAGACAAGGCTCTCTAGCCCAGGAAACCCGCAAAAATCATAGACTTCACCCCAGTTGGGTGGAGAAGATAAGAGACTGTCCCTGATGGATCCATGATGCCTGATCGATCCATTGTGCTTGTGAACTGAAGCGCTCCCACACCTGGCTGTGGGGCAGGCTCATCATGTGGTCCTCTCCTCATCCAGGACCGTTTCGGCGTGCTTGATGTCACGGTTCTCAGCGGTGAATTCACCTCAAAAGGACAAGACTGATACAGTGTCTTAGTGTCTTAGTGTCTTGTCTGGTATGACATGGACATATCAGCCATGGAGGTCAGGGCTTGTTCTACAGTTGAACAAAACAAAGTCTCCTGCACCACGTTGGACCATCCAGAAACCATACTTCCGGCCAAATATCAACAGGACCTGTCTGTCCCATGGCTCTCTTAGGCTCTGTTGAGTTGACGCCCAACATGGCGGGCGGCTGGGGTGGCACATGTCAGGAGGTGCACCGCAGCAATCTCCAGAAACTTCCCGGGCGTCCACTGAGTCCCAGACCCCAGGGCAAACATGTGAGCCACTCCAGGTACGTGCGGCCTCGTACCACGCTTCACAGCAAGTCTACGACACCCAGTAGACACCCAGTCGGACGGACCTGGAGTCGCAGGCCGACGGTCGGCCTGCGACTCCAGACTGCCAGAAAGAGTCTGCTACACAGGGGTTTTGAGAGACATTCAGGCCTACTTGGGCCTTTTCACAGCTGTTCGCCTGTCCCATCACCTGGCCCAACTTGTTGGGATCGCTCTGCGTTTTCGTAGTCAACCACATCGTCAGCTTGTATCGTACTGTTGAGCAAAGACGCCAACCACATCTTGCGTCGTTGGACTGCTGGAAGACCATACTCCCGTGACTCCCTTGCTGTTTGCGCTGCATATTCGGCTGTCCTTGTGACTTGGGGATGGATCAAACCTTGCCAAGAACCCGCCGCTTTCCATCTCCCATCTCTCCACTCCCAACCCAAAAAACTCCCATCTGTCTCTCCACTCCGTTTTTTTCAGAAAGGCACTCTCCCTGAAAATCAGGCGCAGAAAGACTCCCCCCTTCTCTTTCTGCCCTCCTCTCCCCCCATCCCACTCCCATCCCTCCATCCATGTCACACACGTTGAACTCCGGAGACGACGGTTCCAAAGAGTTCAACTTGGCGATCTCCGAGTCGATGATCTCGTCCCGGTGCGTCGGTGCGCCAGACGGACGGAGGGGAGGGGCGGGGGTTCACTGCATCGAGGTCCAAGGCGGAAGCTGAGGAAGGGAAGCTGAACTGGGTCGTAGCAAAGGGGCTCAACATCTTGGATCAAAGAGCTTTTTGGGGGGGGAGGAAGATGAGATTGTGCATACGAATAGTGGCTTGGATTAAAAAAGAGCTCAGGTCTGAACATTCACCAGGGATGAGAACGTACATTTAGTGGACGAACCCCAGCGGGTTAAAGTCTGCAGGGTCTCAGTCATGTCATTACAACCCTGCTGTCCCGCAAACCAACCCAATGACATCCGTTGAATTCTCCATGCTCACGACATAGCTGAGCATTTGGTGTTCCATCACTAACCATCATCAATGTGTAGTCAAAGCAAATGGAGAAGCAAACGAAAAATTCAAGAATGAAAACCTTGAGAGGTGGTCTTTTCGCCTCCTGTGGGCGATTTTCACCCAATCTGCAACAGATCTCAGGGCCTTTTGGACCTCTTCCGGGACCTCCTGAGAGGCTTGGTCCGCTCGCTTCTGCCACCCAGCGCCGACCACCAGTTTGTTACAGCCCAGTTGGTCAGGGTTGGTGGGCAGGTTTCAGACAGGAGACCCCACCTGTGCATCTACCAACTGTACTACCAACAAAAAATGTCCACGACATGTATTTAGCGGCTAGAACCATCCCCGTGAATGAAGCAGCTCACGACTGGATGTGTTTTTGTGCAGACTTTTGCCCAATAGTGACAATGGTGTTTCTTAAGTCGTGGGTCATGGCCACTTGCAACAGCAAAAATCCGTTTGCATCATCAACATGTCGCAAGAATTGGACGAGCAAACCAGCATGGCGGACGAAGCACAAAAGAATGATGGGCTGAAAAATCTTTAAAACACAAGCAAAGCAGCATAATAGGTTTTAAAAATATGCCGCTTTCAACCGCTCTGCGCCCTGCTCCTTGTCTTGGATGGCCTCTTTGAATTGCGTGGTCAGGGCCTGTTTCTCATCCTGAAGTTGACCGAAATGCGATCCTCAAACGAACGAACCGTCGTCCAAGGGGATGCTCGTTTGGTCATGGAGATCCAAACAGGATGTCGTCTTGAGATGTAAAACCTCACTAAAAACTGTTGGGTGCTTGATTTCGAAGCAACAGGTGCACCACATAATCTTGTTCCCAAACAAAGTATATAAGAGTTTTGTGCTTTCCTTGAGTGTCAAAACATGTCAAAACTCCTTGAAATCCAAGCTCTTCACGAGTCATCGTCGGGAAATATTCCACTCTGCCGCAGGACCGAACGTCTTGAATGGCACCAGGAGATGTGCACGACTGGGCGGCATACCCGATGCTCCCCGTGATGCTACCACTTGACCTTTTTTCTCTGACACCCGGGTATGGGTATGTAGGGGGGTGAAGCAAACATGTTTTTTCTACCTTGGTTGACCTATACGGAAGGTCAAGCAACATGGGGTTGGGACTCCAGGTTTTGACTCAGCACCGCATCTTCGATGAAAAGCTCCTTTTCGATGCCAAGCTCTTTCTGGATTTGCCGCATCTGGTCCTGCCAAGCTCTGTAGCAAACAAAACTCCACCACCTCGAAAACATGTGAAAACACACGGGAAGAAAAATTCTGGGTTCCACTCTTAAACGGCTTGGTGGAAATTCGATCGTATGCGCTTGGAACGTACCGGCCCATTCCCAGCTCTTAGCGCTCGGACGACTGAAGGGTATAAAGAGCCCAAATGCAACAGACCAAGGCCAAGACAACAGCCAAGCACCACTCAAGGCTTTTGTAGAGTAAGGGCATGGGCACTGGACACTCCTGAGTCCTGAGTAACATCGAAGGAGGGCACCCAGTTGATGAAAATCCAGATCAAAGCTCCCAGCCCTTCACCACCAGGCCCCTCCTCTCTCAACCTTCTTCAGTGAAAAAGAGTATGCGAGCACAGAACACGCTAACTCTTGTTCTGACCAGCTGTTGCCAAGCACTACACCTATCATTTCTTTTGACTAAGGTGTTTATCTCACATGTTTCGACGAGCTTCCCTTTGCTCTCAAGAAACCAGCGCAGGATTGGTTTGACCTCAACGGCACCCCCAGGTCGGACTCGTCTGGTTCGTTCGGTCCATCAAAATCTTCTGCTTCTGTTCCTTCAGCACTTTCTCCTCCACTTTGCCTCGGTTCCACGGCGGTGCTCCGCACCGCGGCCCACGGAGAGGTCTCAAGCACGGATCGCAAGGAAACGTCGCCTGGATTTCGGACGCTGGTCTGCCTGTCATCCTCCTTTTTTTCCTCATACTACTTGTATGTTCCAAGCAGATTCGAGCAAAATTCCAAGCAAGACGCTGTGCACTGAAGAAAACCTCAAGAAAGAAAAGTCACGACCCACGACCCCGGCCAGGCTGAGCGATGTATTCGGGATCTCGGCCCCAAGAGGCTGGCCCATCGAGTAGCCCAAACGAGTAGTGAGTAGTGAGTAGTTCGGTCCGAATGACTTGGGCTCCTTTGACCAAGTCTATCTGTACACACAAAGGGATATATATAAAATATATATACAATATATATAATATATAATATATTATATATATATATATGGATGTACCTGGACCATCCAAGGGGTCTCCAACAGACCACCAGACAATACGACCGACAGGGCTTCGGACTTGGACACCCCGACAGTGTCTGCTCCTGGTATACCCCGACCGTGTTCTTTTAAATGGCTTCTGGTGGTCAGCCTAGTCCTGGATAGAGAAAAATCACACCGCGAAACGAACCTCAAGTCCCCCACAACCGCAAACCGGCCGCAAGCCCAAACAAAGACAAACACCCCGAAACGGCTGGAGTTGGCTCATAAGGCAAAACCATCCAAACTGGATGGGAACCACCTTATTTGGTGTCCCATGCCCCATTCAGAAGTGAATGATGGACGACTGGTTTGCACCGAACCTGTTCCAACCTGTTCACACTCTTCACCTCCCTGGCCTACTCCCTGGCCGGGATCTGTGTCCCGTCACTTCGGTAACCCTTCGGTTGCGGAAGCCTTTTCGGGTGTTCTGAGCTCCACGCTCTTCACCTCGGATTGCATTTTCACCATGCTCAGGTCTCGCTGCAGTAGCACCGTGACCTGCACACGGCCCAGACGTGGCCCTCGCGACGCGCGCGCCGCTTTTGCGCCCCTGTGCGCGCGTCGTTGTCGTGCACGGTGTGACCAACAGAAAGCGTCCCGCGTGAAGAAGAAAGACGTGTAAAACATGGAACATCAAACCGGTGATTTGGATCCCTGCATCGCAGTCTGCATGAACCCGGGGCTGCCTTCTCGATCTTTCTTTTCAAGTCTTGCTCCTCCAAGACGCCCTGGCTGCTTTTCAGTAGCAAACTAGGGAATGAGGCGTTTGCTCTTCCATGGCACCGCGGCCAAAAGTAGTTGTAGCCTGAGAGGAAGATTTGCAGGTTGTTTAAAACTAGATTAACTAGATATTGTAAGCATTGTCACGACCATCAAAATTTGACCATGACAATACACATTTTGTCAACCATGATGTGAACTGGAAGGCTAGGCCGGCTAGGCAAAGGAAAGAAGATGAGAGAAAGAACTGCTATGTTTCTTCCGTTTGATGGGTGGTACTTAGCACTTTGCCAGCTTGCTGGTCGCCGTCTGGCACCACCAGGTGACGTGGACGCGGCTTGTGACGCCTGCAGTTCACTTCGGTCTGCAGTGGACAAGCCAGCCTCGGATGCGTCGCTTCACCGTTCCGATGGGTGACCCATTGGCCAACGTGTGGTGTCACATCTACTTGAACATACGTGATGCCAGCAGACTTGCGTAAACAAATGCCACGATAGCTGATCCCACCCATGGCAACTGCTGTGTGTGAAGAGATGGCTTGGTTCTTTCCGAAATCATGGATTCCTCTGGCTTTTGGGACGGGATGTCTAATCGTTCAGATGCCTTTTTGACCTTTGGCCTTCAGCTTAAGCTATCGTCGCCCAGTACCGCACCATCAACGAAGCTGAAGAGCGCAACACTCGAGCAACAACCAAGAAGCTGGATCTCATGACCCTCCCAGCAACAGCTACACAACCGCAAGCGCAGCTTACGGGCCATCCATGAACAACAACAACAACAACAAACAAACAACAAACAACAACAAACAACAACAAACAACAACAAACAACAACA